GAACACCATTTGCCCTGGGTTAGTCTTGGGGAACTACAAACCCCAGCTCATTTGGCATCTGTTCATTCACCCTCCAGCTAAATCTCAGAAACGTGCTTAAAGGAGAGCATCGTCTTACATTAGCAATTTCTCAGCCAAGTCACAGGATGGGAGGGCACAGAATCATGGCCTGTTGCCCTTTTAGAACGGAAATTCAGAAACTAAAAAAAGAATAACAGGGAATGGAATTATGTGGGAAATCTGACATCCCCTGGGACTTGGAAAGTTACCACCAGATTTCCTTAATAGTCATAAACTGTTCCTCTCCTACTGTGAGAATTGTGAGGTGTAAAATGTTTAAACCTTTTTATGTGCAAATATCATATATGAGACTCCCGCTACTATTGCCACCAGATGGATCTTCCAAAAAGTAAAGTTTCCATCTTCGCAGCACCTTTTCAGAAATGTTAGATCTGTCCCATCTACTTTCAGGATAGGGTAAGTTCTTATGCTCACACTCAGGGCCTCTGTCTGTCGTTCAGCAAATATGTATTGAATAGCCACTCTGTGCTAAGCACATTGCTACAAAGGTAACGTGGAGGCTTTGCGGAGTGTGTTTACCAATTCTTAACATAAACCCTCTGCTCTAAGTACACTGGTCTCCTCTTTGCCCCCTCAGGCCCTTTTCTCCATTTCTAGAACAATTCCCCATCGGACAGGCTCTTCCCTCTTCCCTAGCCTATTTAAACCTGGCCCCAATCCACCCCTGTTGCAAAGCCAGGGGCTGTCCCACCACTTGCATGCTGCTTCTCTGACTGGTGGCCCACAAGGGCATCTTCTTTCCTCACCCCTGTTATGTGCATATGACTTAGTCCAAAGATTCAAAATTTAGAGAGAACTGTTCTATTAAAAAAAAAGAAAAGAAAAAAAACCTGTTGTATGTTATATACATGTTAATTATTAATTTATATGGTACATTATGCCTAATATTCTACAGATATTAGCCAGTTAAATTACTAATATGAAAAGCGGAAACCTAAACTTTCCCTTTGCTGAAATTTGATATTTAGCGGTCCCCCTTGGAATGTTAATTTGGAGACTGGGAAGTGTTTTAAAGACTGGGCAGTGTTTTAAAGTCGGTGCTCAAATAATCAGCAGGTCAGGGAAGGGCAACCAAATTTAGCATCTGTTTTGGGAGGGACTACTTCAAAGGACATTTACTGATGAGAAAAGTCTGAGATTGCTCAGTGAGGCTGTGACTTGCCTGGAGTTGCACCATAGGTTGATGGCAGTACCACCACTAAACTCTCATGTTCCTACGTATACCCAGGGGACTAAGAGATGCTCTATCTTGACTGGTGACTTTTCTCCTTAGAAGACAGTATAGTCTATGAGGCTCAGACTTCATCTGTCTTGTTTTCAAACTGAAACTCCAGTGATCTTTTTCCCCCAGGGTAGCGTACCTAATGCAATAATTCCTTGAGAATTGGCCTCCTTTAGAAATATTCACAGTTTTAAACTTGGCTCAGGCTCCAGAAATCACTCCTCTAGGAAGCTTTCCACGATGTCCCCATCTTTTTAGGGACCCCTATTCCTGCTTCCCTTATACTTGGTGTGTACAATTACTGTGCTGCTGGTACACAGTAAGTACTCAGCAAATGTGTGAACTACACTGATTTGCAGTATTTCCCCCAAGAGCATCTAGAAATAGTTAAATAAAATGTTTATGAAAAATGTGCCTCAACCAGATAGGCAGATTACATTATCAAAAAGAAATAACATTAAAAGAGAGTTACCACATCTTGCCAAATATTTTTGCTTTGATGGTCCCTTCTATTTTTCTAGTGATAAGCTATCTGAAACATTGGCATTTGGATAGTCCTTGCCTCTTCATGAGACATCATCTCTTCAAAGAGATGAAGAATGAATATGTTCTTGCCGAACTTAAAATATGGAGGGAAGACAAAGACATTCCAACTCAATGGTGTCCGACATTTTATTGTAGCAGTTTTTTTTCCCTCACAGCCTAGGCATGCATTCAAGTTGCATGTCTCACTTTATCTTCCTCTGTTTGATGTACTCACAGAGCTGCCGCTTCCCTTCACACTCTTCTGGTATCAGATGTGACTGAAATAACAGAAAATTCAGGATAAAACTTGTGTATCTTAGGATAGACTAAGTTATGGTGTAGTAATAAACATCGCCAAAATCTCAGTGGTTAACATAACGGAAGTTTACTTTTTGCTCACAGGAAGAGCACTGAGAGTCCAGGACAGCTGACCTCCATTTGGTGGCCCAGCATTTCAGGCTGCTTCCATCTTGAGGCAGCTCCGTGTCAACATGTGCTTCTACCATTGCTGTGGCAGGGATGGGAGCCTGGTGAATTGCACCCTGGCTCTTTGATGTTTCTGGCTGGAAGAGACACATAGGCATTACTAACCCAGGGCAGGAAAATCTAAGCCTCTCTGATGGAGTAGAGGACTGGAAATACTGAGGGGCGCTAGTAATATCTACCAAGTCAATTTTTGGCTTACAGAAAGAGGGGCGGTGATGGTTGCATATTGTGATCTCTTTCAATTTTCAAGATTTACTTACAGTCTCAGCAGGAACATAAAGTTAAAGGAAATCGGAGAGTCCAGCAAACCCTTGTAGGACTGAAAATGTGGGGAAAGGGGATGCCACATTAAAGCAGAAGACATTTACCTTTCTGACGTCATGATTCAAATACTATAACTAGTGTAGTAGCTCCAGAAGAAATTTTAAAAAGCTTTGGAGTCTGAAACAGACTGAACAGAAGATAGTTCCATAGAGCTTATTGTTCTTCTCAGATGTGAGCACCTGTTCATTTTTTAAAAGGACATCAGCCTTTGGAGAATCCCGTTGGTGGATAGGTGAGTCCTCCAATGAGGTTACCATGGTTACTGGTGGAGGGTAGCATCCAAATTTGTGTGTGGTAGAGGGAAAGGAGGCTGATTCCCATAATCAGTAATGGTGATGTGTTGGGGGTCCCCATGACCACTCTCAGGTGACAGATGGATTTTATCAACAAACCTGTATCTGCCTTCTTAAGTTTTTTAGACTTTCTGGAAGATAACCTTATGAGGGGATGCTGCCATCACCATCACTGGCCCCAAAACACATTGCTAATTTTAGTGCTCAAGATGCCTGGGCTAATCTGAGAGGATTGTCTCAGAGACAAGAAAGCCACCCTTTCGATCTGTCATTTGCTTTCTTTCTCCCTCCTTTGCCTTAAAATACACTTTTAAATTTGGAAGTTGTACGAAGAGGCAGTATAATTTTTTACCTGAAGAATCCTATTAACTTAGGGTACCATAAAAACTCATATACTTTCAGTACAGCTTTAAGATATTCAAACAGACCCTAAATAAGTCATTTATACTGTTTTCAAACAATTAAAAGCTTAGGATCCTAGTGGAACATTTCTCTGATCCTATCCAGATATTTGCTTGTAGTTGCTCAAAATGTTCAGCAGCAAAACAGTGTGGAACAAAAGTTTAAAACAGCATTCCATGAAAACTTCAGCAGACAAACCTACTGCATTACAAATGAGTAACCACATTGAAGAGAGTGAGGAAGAAAAGAACTAACCTATGTAACTTTGGACAACAGGATCTGACCTGATATTCTCAGGCTGAGGACAAAAAGAATTGTACATAAATGCTATAATTTGGTTAGTTGACGTGCTTCTCCCAGGGGTATGGATTAGCAATACTGAGAGTACTGTATGTACGTAGTAGAATTGAGAAAACAAGTAAATATATTGTAGATAATGAGAGCACAGTTTCTCTCTGTCCGAGAATGAAGTCGTAAGTGAGGAAGGATTAAAATGTACCATATGATGCTGACTAGGAATCAGAGGTATCAGTATAAAATCATGGTTTTTCATATGTGTACAGACAGAGAAATATAGATGCATGAGTTAATGCGCATATGTACATCTTCCAGCTCCGTCTGCTTGGAGGGCTTAGAAGCAATGGAACCCGAGCAGCAGAGCATATCTAGCATCTAGATCTTGCCTTCTAGACACCGTTGTCCAATCAAAGGAACCAGGACTCTTTGGAAAAGTTATTAATTCCAGGGCTGGGGCAGGGGATATACAAAATGAGCCTGGAATATCTTGTGTAGCCAGAGAATGAGGAAGTATTCTCAAAATGGTAGAGCTTGTCAAAAGAATGCAGAAGCAGAAGTCAACCTGAATGGACAAAGCTAGAACAAATTTAGCAACAAAATACATAATGACGGTATTGGATTTTAACCTATAGAATAAAATAAATATCCAAGAGTCCATACTGATATAAGTAAATTAAATAAGTGGGAGAGAAGGGATAACACTTTCTTATAGAAGAATTACAGTTAATGAACATAGAAGGAAAAAGGGAAAATGGAAAATCGCCATTAAGCAAACACCACGGTAATAATTATGATAAACAGGATCTAGTGATAGATGCAAATATTTGTAGGCAAAATGTGAGAAGTGGCATATATTCATAGTCTCAAAGTATCTCCCTCAATGTAGTTTTAATTAAAAAGGGGAAGATAATTTCATAGTGAAGAAACCTGCAGGCACCACCTTAACCAAGCCATCAAGATTAACATCACCAGTGATAAGACATGGACATCATGAACCTCTTGATATTAGGCACTGAGAAGGACATGGCAGCATTTCACTGTCCTGAAAGATTGAGGAACATCAGATTGGAGGACGTTAAGGAAGAGTAACAGCTAATTGCAATGTGAGAAACTGGACAGGATCTTAGAATAGAAAAAAGACGTTAGGGGAAACACTGGTGAAATTAGAACAAGGTTGAGTTGAGTTATCACTGGGTCCGATCACTGTACTGTGGTTATGTAAAATTAGGGGAAATTGGGTGAGGACTATGTGCTGAAATTAGTTCAAAATAAAAGTTATAAATGAAATGAAATAAAACATATAACCGTAGAACCAAGTATTCTAACTAAAGTAAACTATTCTTTGGTGCTTCCTATTACAATTTCCACAGCGGAGCGACTTTCAAACAGTTGGCTGGATGTTCGTCACATTGAAAAATATGTAGACCAAGGTAAAAGTGGGACGAGAGAATTACTTTGGTCCTGGGCACAGAAAAACAAGACCGTTGGTGACCTTTTACAGATTCTCCAGGAGATGGGGCATCATCGAGCTATCCATCTAATTGCAAACCACGGTAAATGCTGATTCTTATGATGTGGCTCTCCGTCCATTTTATAGGAGTTGCAATTTGTAAATGTAAATATTGCATTTTATCCAAGACACTGATTGGTCAGGCTGTGTGTCAGTGATTTCTTGCTTGTGGCTTTTATCTGAAGGAGGCCTTGCAGCTTCCCTTTTTTTGTGTGACACTTTCTTTCCTTATTGCCAAACTTATACAACCCATTCCTTTCAATCACTTTATGGTTTTGGGTTTTTCTAAAAATTTACTTACAAACTATACTTTTTTAAATGTTTCATTCTTAGCTAAGAGAATCAGCTGTCTGTCCAGATCTCTAAAAAACTCTTTGAATCACAAACATAGTCAGAATCACAATATAAGTAAAATCTAGATAATGCTATAATTTATTTTATCATATGATTAGAAGTTAAAAGTATAATTGGGTTTTCCTTCTGTATTTCAGTACAAATGATACCTCTGGAATAATCCTGGGATCGCTCTTTTATCTTTACTACTGTTTTTATGCCGTGGCTTCTAACTCTGCCTTACTCATTTACTATCCATTCCACGGTGGCCTCATTCTTCCGTCTGTTTGTCTTGTCTGCTTCTGATGCTCTGTCATGCCTTACATTTAGAGTAACCTGATCAGTAAAGCTCATGAAGTTTTCTCCATTCATTATCAAGAAGTAACCGTCTAATGTCACCTGTTCTGTTTATTCCACCTTAGATTTATTCACTTCAACAAGAATGATCTTGAGTGATCTTGGGTCTTACGTTATAGACTCGGGCTCTTAGGTTGGAAACTCTTTTGAATCAGCATTCTTATTCTTTGGCTCTTTCATCTAGGCATATTGTTAGTTCTGTATATTTGCACACATGCTCTTTGGTAATATTTTTAGTGCACCCGAGCTTCTACCTTATCACCCAAAGAAGCTTTACAAACACAAAGAAGAAATCCTGAGAGATTTGTACCGGAAAACTGAAACTTCAGATTGACTTTAATTTTGTAGATTTTTCACATTTATGGGATATTAGACAGTTCCCAATAGGCTTCCACTATGATATTATCTGTATAACTTGGCTAATCCCTTTTGTCTTTTGTACACTATCTCGTCCCTTAGTTTCCTACAGCAGAATGCTTCACTATGAAGCTGACTGATCAAGTAAAATGCAGCGAGTCCCTGGGAACTGTAAATGCAATGCCTTTTCATTATCTGAGCCTTTTCCAGCCACTGAAACCACCTACACAATATAAACTCACACCAATTTCATAGGATACATGGGTATGTTTTATGCTTCAGTGTTCTGGCATAGATTTTATGGTATCTTTCCACCTCTATGTTGTTTGTTCATGCAGCAGAGAATGATGTGGACTGTGAGTAGACAAAAATTTCACATTCTTGGGTGACTCCTGGTCTGTTGCACATGCAAAATTGATTTCACTTTTTAAAATGTGAGATTAGCCGATTGGTAGAAAGACAATTATTTACTGCCCTTGTACCAGAATTAGGTAAATCTGAGATGAAGAGGAGGATAGCACCTTGCTCTGAGTCCTTTGCTAAGGAAAATAGCATTACCTAATTGCGATTTGTTGAGTGGATGCTTTGAATTATAATTTTAAAAACGTTAATTGTATAGCTTATTAAAAGCAATGTGATGGTTCATTGAGAACATTAAGTGTAGCTGCTGAACAGGCATCTCCTATGATAGCTACTCACTGAATTAGAAGTTGGAGCTCCTAACTGAAAATGCATAAAAAGATTTAGTCTTTCTTTGTTGCTACCATGGACAGTTAATCAGTTATGCAAATAATCCATTATCTATCCAAATATCCATTTTTGTCTACGCTTCCTTAAAACCGTTCAGTTTGGTGGGATGGTTTTCATTTTAGAGGAATTTTTTTACCTTTCATTTGCCAGCCTCCAGAGATCACTTTGTAGATTTGGATTTTCTTATGAGTCCTACTGAAAGGCCTTGTGTTTACTCTCAGTCACTATTGCTGCAATTCAGGTGGCGGCTGCTAGACGGTTTCTTCACATCCATAAAACGTTCCCTCAGATCTCAGGACAACCAACTTGTTCAAGAAGCTAGCATCTTTACTTGCCGTCGTTATATTTCTGGCATGTGTGTCCTACATATCACATTTTGCATTTATATTCTAGTGGTCAGCAATTGTTTTCTAGTTTTGACGTGAAATCCACAGCTTTCTGCTGGCTTCTTAGGAGAGCCATTTTGAATCTTCCATTTTATATGACAGTGAAGTATTGTCCCTCTTTTTATGAGCAACAAAAGGACAATGACTTTTAGTGCCCTTACAGCCCCCAAACTTCAAATTTTGTTCTACGCTATAATACCTTATTTGGATGTTTATTTCTTTTTCTTGCCTAATTGCCCTGGCTAGAACCTGTAGTAAAATGTTGACTAGAAGTAGCAAGACCAGACATTTTTTTCTTGTTCCTGATCTAAAGGGGAAAACATTCAGTCATTTGCAGTTATGGTTAATGTTGTCTGTGGGCTTTTCACAGATGTCCTTTATCAAATTGAGGAAATTCTTTTCTATTCCTAGGGTTTTTATCATTATAGGTTATTGGATTTTATGGGTTTTGTTCTTTATTCTGTTAGTGTGGTGTATTACATTGATTGATTTTCAGATAGTAAGCCAATATTGGATTCCTGGGATGAATCCCACTTGGTCGTGTTATATAATTCTTCTTATATGTTTCCAGATTTGGTTTGCTAATATTTTGTTGAGGATTTTTGCATCTATATTCATAAGGGATATTAGTCTATACTTTTCTTGTGATGTTTTTTCTGGCATTGGCATTAGGATAATATTGGCCTCGTAAAATGATTTGGGAGTTGTTACCTCCTCTTCTATTTTGGAAGAATTTATGAAGAACTGGTGTTGAATCTTCATTAAATGCTTGGTAAAATTCACCTAGCCAGCCCTGGTGGTCTAGTGGTTAAGATTTGGCACTCTTACCACCATGGCCGGGTTCATTTCCTGGTCAGGGAACCACACCACCCATCTGTCACTATCATACTATGGTGGCTGCATGTTGCTGTGATTCTGACAGCTATGCCACAGGGATTTCAAATACCAGCAGGATCACCCATGGTGGACAGGTTTTAGTAGAGCTTCCAGACTAGACAGACTAGGAAGAAGGACCTGGCCACCCACTTCTGAAAAAATGGGCCGTGAAAACTCTATGAATAGCAGAGGAGGATTGTCTGATATAGCACCAGAAGGTGAGAGGACGGTGCAAAAAGGCCAGGCAGGGTTCCACTCCGCTGTCCACAGGGTCACTAGGAGTTGGAATCTACTTGACGGCACCACCACCACCAACAAGAATTCACCTGTGAAGCCATCCAGACCTGGACTTTTCTTTGTGAGAAGTCTTAAAATATTAATTCAATCTCTTGCCTTGTTATAGGTCCATTCAGATTGTTATTGCTTTTTGAGTTAGTTTCAGTAGTTTGTTTCTTTCTAGGAATCTGTCCATAGCATCTAAGTTGTCTAATGTTTTACATGCAATTGTTCATAGTATTCCCTAATAATTCTTTTTATTTCTGGAAGGTTGGTAGTTATGTCTCCTTTTTTGTTTTTGGTTTTAGTAATTTGTATCTCCTCTCTTTCTTTCTTGGTCAGTCTAACTAAAAGATTGTTAATTTTGTGATCTTTTCTAAGAACCCACTTTAGTTTCATTGATTTTCTCTTTTGTTTTTCTATTTTCTATTTCATTTATTTCCACTCTTATAAATTTTAATTCTTTCCTTCCTTCTGCTTCCTTCAGTTTAATTTACTCTTCTTTTTCAAGTTCCTTAAGGCAAAAGTTTAGGTTATTGATTTGAGATCTTTCTTCTTTTTTAAGTTGACATTTACAGCTATAAATTTCCCTTAAGCACTGCTTTCGCTGCATTCCATAAGTTTTGATATGTTGTGTTTTCATTTTCATTCATCTCAAAGTATTTTCTAATTTCCCTTGTGATTTCTTCTCTGACTCACTGGTTATTTGTCAGTATGTTTAATTTCCATGTATTTGTGAATTTCCCAAATTTCCTTCTGTTACTGATTTCTACTTTAATTCCATTGTGGTCAGAGAATATGCTTTGTATGATTTCAACCTTTCCAAGTTTATTGAGGCTCATTTATTGCCTAACATGTGGTCTATTCTGGAGAATGTTCAGTGTGCATTTGCAAAGTATGTGTATATTCTTCTGTTTTGGGATGGAATGTTCTACAGATGTCTGTTAGATCTAATTTGTTTATAATGTTGTTCAGGGAGAGTTGTTATTAATTGATTATGTTTTGTTGCCAGTATTCTAAGCAAAATAATTTAAGAAACACTAGAACACAATCTAAGAAAAACTAGAAGATGAAATAAAATTTTTCTAAAGTATGAATCAAAATGTCAGAAGAGACAGCAAAATATTGCAGGGTTTTAATCTTTTAGGAAGCTACATAGACTACCTCAGTTCAGACAGAATATAACAGACAGAAGTTATAGTCTACAATTGGGAAGGGGGGTGGGTGTTTGTGGTTGATACACACACACACACACACATCTAATACCTTATGGAACACGATAGGATAAAAAATAAATTAACCTAGGGAGATATAATCCCATAATTGTAAAAATTTTAAATATATATGCGAAAAGCTGATAAGTGTTGCTTTTTCCTTTCAACTTTCTACTTCATACTTTGATATTTGCAATGATGTCTAATAATAATTTAAAGTAGGAATTCATGTTTTAAGTGAACAAAAGTATGTTTGTATAATATTTGATCGTTGGGAAGCTATTCACATACATAAATTTGTAACCATTCAATGGGAATGACACTGAGCTTAAAAATGAACATTACTGTCAAGGTATTTATTTTTATGAGTAAGAAAGAAAAAAAAATCATGTTTATGAGGAACATAGAATTTTTCTTGTATCTACCCCCCCCTTATTTCTCTTTCAGGAGCAGCCTTGAATCCCTCAGAACACAGTCACCCAGGAGATGGATTTCCAAACATGTTACCCAAGGTAGAGTGTGCGTGCATAGATAATGACTCTTGAACTCTATTGTATAGACAATTGAGCAAAGGAAAGCAATTATCAGATAGAAAAATGCTAGATTTGCAGGTACTTTTTTAAAACCAGAAAAACCTTAGTTCTTTCCTTATTCTTTGTTTAGTTGGGGATTCAGGAAATTAGAGATTCATAAATGTTTGAAGAGGTAAGAACTTTCTCCTCTCAGTGATCTGTCAGAGACGAGACTTAGAACTATTAAGAGAATTGTAAGTTATGCCTTTGTCTTAACTCAGCTTTTAATTTTCCTGTTCTAGTTGGTGTTTTGCACGTTGCTCTTAGTTTTTATTAGAGCAAATGAGCAGTGATCATTTTTATAGCAATAGAAATCATTTAAAATTGACTATAACTGACTATGACATTGATTCTTGAGTTTTTACAGTTGGTATGAAAGCCTTAAATATATATGGCAATGAATACAATTGAATGAAATAAAATAACTTTGCTTTCTGCTAGCTTTCTCCTAAATTAGATTCCACTCTACTGCATTATATAGTCCCAGAGGAAGCTTTGGATTTCTGTTGAGGTTCTGTTCTTTCTGGACTTATGAAATGGAATTACTTTAATATGTATTTCTTCTCTTAGGAAACAACCAATGTCACAGTGGATAATGTTCTCATTCCTAAACATAATGAAAAAGGTAAAAAAAACACCAACTTTTCTTCAAATCGTGCTTTCCTTTACGTGAATTTAGTGGGAAAAGTATTCACCCAACCTATTAACTACTCATTATTATGCAGATTCACGATAAAATTTTCATGGATATCAAAATAGTCACAATTTTGACTGACACATAATTCTGATGGATGATATATTATTGTCATGTTAAAAATCCATTGGCCAATAAGGAACATTGTTGTAGTCTCTTCACTTAAGGGGATTTCTTATTTTCTGTTAGTGAAATTTGCTATTTTTATGTGTCATAGGAAAACATTTTAAAAATTACGCTGGGTTTGTATAGTTTTAGGAATTTTTATAGCACTTGCAGCGATCTTTAGAGATATTTGTAGAGCAATGCTGAAGGTCACTATGAAAATCCACTTATTTTCCATATCAACTTTCCTTCTTTATCAGCAGGGAGAATAATTTAGCTCTACCTGGGAATCATTCTGATAGGCTTTAGTGGCTGGTTAAGGCTGCCTTGCCTAATCTTCGCCACTAGATCTGATGCTTCTTTGGTTCAAAAGAGAAATGGAAAAGTTAGACAAGGTTTTGATCCTTTGAGGTTTAGCAATAAGGTCTAAGTCAAACATGAACTGTGGAAATAGAGCCAAAATTGGGCTCTGAGGCATTTAGCCAAGCTTTTCCCTTTGAGTTTGTATTTGATTACCTTTTAAATGTTTTCTCCCAATCTCAGCTTTAGAGGATTTTTAAAAAGCTGAAGCATCTTCCTAATTTACTCTGAGGAAGAGAGTTAGGCATTTAGAGGATTTGGCTCGTGAAAAATGCTTCTATCGGACATGCTTGGAGCATATTGTTTAGTCATATCAAGATTTCCAGTTCTGTAGTTTTTTTAGGTTCACAGTGGGTCAACAGTAATCCATTAATCTAATGACCAGGAAACAGAATCTTGGACATGTTTCCCTAACTAAGCTCTTCTGCTGATCTCTTTGGAAAGGTGGTAGAATCAGAGTGCTATTGTTCAAATGTTTAAAAAGCCATTTGCTCTGTGGGATGGTGGGAGCCAGACCCAAGTAAATGTGCACAGAGCACATGGTGGGCTTCCATCTGGGTTCATGGGCCTTGCTCTCCAGACTTTCCACTGAGCTCTGATGTGTTTCTAATATGGAAGTCTTGACTCTCTATAACGATGGCATTGATTCTTAAAAAGAGAAAAAGTAACTTATCTTCTCCCTACTTTCCTTCCTAAGGAATATTGTCTAAATCTTCTGTCAGCTTTCAAAACATCATAGAAGGAACCAAAAATTTCCACAAAGACTTCCTAATTGGAGAAGGGGAGATTTTTGAGGTATACAGAGTGGAGATCCAAAACCGAACATATGCCATTAAATTATTTAAACAGGTATGGAAAGAATTACTATCACAGGATATCAATTCCATTTATTTGCTCGTATTTCATATTAGAATGTGTCATTTTTCATCAACGTTGAAAGGAGGTGTATTTGAAAATAAAATTTCATAAATGGAAATAAGATATATGACCTCAGGTGACTGGAGAAATGACTGAGAAATGAATTCGTGTCTTGCAGGAATGTGGAAGTTAAATGCCTCCCTTCCCCAGATGTATTGCATGGGAAAGACTTTTCTGAAAAGCCTTGTAGGACCTTTGGGACTTCGCTTAAGATGGTCAGCTTATGATGGTCTGCTCTAGTTTTCGTGGTTTTTTAGGATGGGCAGTGTCCTCCCCAGGCAGCTTCACAATTTGGTGCTACTTCATACATTGTCTCTATCACAGTTCAGGAGGATGGGAAAGTTGCAGCAGATCAGAGTAAGAGGTTAGGAGACAGATGAGTGACTGTAGCCAGCAAAGCAGAAAGGGTATGGACCAAACTCAGGAGTCAGAAAGAGATAGGGACGCACATATACACCCAAAAGAGCTGCTCATCGTGTCCTTCGTTGTTAGTCAACAATCAATAAACATTTACTAAACTCTTTCTGTGGACCAGGTACAGAGCATGCAAAGACCAGTAAGGCATAGTTCTGTCCTGAAGAAGCTCACCGTCTTACAGGGGAAACAGGCAGCTAAAGAAAGGTTAAACTGCGGTGTGAGAATAACTTTAGCAGAAATTTGTCCAAAAGGTCACAGGAGCACATAAAAGGTAGCCAGGGGAGGGGTACATCCAGCACTCAGAAGAGTTCCTGGCACAGAGTAACCCTCAATAAATGTTTCTGCAATAAACAAATGGAAAAGTGGGTGAAAGGAAGTGACTTTCAGCTGGATTGTGAAGGATAAGTAGAATTTTGGCAGGCAGCGAGGGAGGGAAGTACTTCTGGAAGAAATAGCAGGTGCAAAGGCCTAGAGGTGCATGCATGAACGCATGTGTCTTACTCATGAATAACAGATCGTTCGGTGGAGTAGAGTTTAGTGTGGGGGGTGGGAATGTAGTGGCAAAAGATGATCCTGGAAAGATAGGTTAAGTCCCTGGATGGTTTCTAAGTAGGAGAGTGAAAGGACTAGCTTTGTGTTTTTGAAATACAACTTTGGTTACAGATTAGAGGATGGACTGTAAGATGCAGGAGTATTGGAGAAAAGATGGAAAGTACTATACTAGAGGCACAAAGAGCTGGTAGTGGGGTATTTTAGATGTGTAAACTAAGACATGGATAGGGCTTAAACCAATGTCCTCAACTCTAATATTAGAATCACCAAGCAGCTTCTAAACAATGAGCCTGGTAGCATCTGGTTAGGTCAGAGTAGTGGTGGGGTAGCAGGCATTCGTATTTTTAAAAAGCTCCCCAGGTGGTTCAAATGTGTAGCCAGTGTTGATAACAACTGCCATAAGCCAGGGCAGGAGTAGTGGAGGTGGTGAGGAGAAGGTGTGCCTAAAAGATGACATGAAGTGGCTCAGATCTAGTGATCTGTGAGATAGTTCTGGGAAACAGAGGAGAAGGAGGAATCTAAGGTGATTCCTCTTTTGCAGCTTGGATTACAGGGCCTTTTTAAAAAAAAAAAAAATTATTAACCTGATTTCTCTATTTCCCCAAATTGCATTTTGCCCCACTAATTCTATACAGACATCTCAAGATTCCTGAGACGATGAATGGTCCAATAAAGACATGAAACAATCTGCTGGTAAAACCATTCAACAAAAAGAATGTGGTTACTCTGGAGGAGGCCTCACTGAAGCCAGTGTGCTCCTGGCTTCATTTGTACCTTCTCTTAAGGTCCAGCCTAGGGCCACCTCCCCAAAGGCTCCATCCATCCACTTTCCTCTTCTCTCTGCAGCTCGCACTCTCTTCTGGGAGTTTTCTTTCCAGGAATCTGGCTTCAAAATGGGATGTCTTTGCCTCTAGATCTGCTTCCCTTCCTGTCCCAAAGACAATGATCATTTCCCTGATTGCTTCCAACCTCTCCAGAATGGTTTTGGTGACCCTCCTAAGCGTAGCCAGAGCATCATAGCATTATCTCATAGTACCTATTGATTTCTCCATCCGCCTCTCCCGATGGACGAGATGGTTTTCTTTACAGAGCTCCTGTTTATCTTTGTATCCCAGAGCCTTATTACAGGGCCTGGCCCATTGTCGTTGCTCAATAAATGTTTGCTGGATGAATGGAGTAAAGCACATTTGTCCTTTTCATGAATTTACTTGCTAATCACTATTAGTCAAAAGACAGGAGGTACTAAAGACGTAGAGACTGTACAAAGTGCTACACACACACGCACGCACGCACGCACGCACTTTTCAGGAAAGATGAGATGATTTAATGAAGCTGTAGCCACAGAGCATTTCCTACAAGAAGTGCAGTTTTGTAACACTGGGTCATTAACTTCAATAACCTTTCTCAGAGGGAATGTCCTGGTGTGTTAGATTGGAGCATCCACATCGCCTGGAGATCTTACCGTGCGGATTCTGATTCAGCACGTTTGGGCAGGGACCTGAGAGTCAGCATTTCCCACCAGCTCCCAGTGAAGCTGATGTTCATCGTGCACAGACCACACTTTGAGCAGCAAGAGTGCTAGGCTAGCACGAACACAAAAACTAACCCTTCGTTTTTCAGATTAAGAAAACTGACCTCAGGGAGGTTAAGTGACAAAAAGTCACAAATTGCGAGTGTTGGAGATGGGCCTGAAACCCAATCCACTTGGCTCCCAGGACAGTGATTTTTTAAAATATAAATTCTTGTAAAGTGGTCCTTGAAAATGATTTGTTAGCCTAGTTTATTGTTTCTGACTTCCTGGATTAACTTGGAAAATAGCTTCCAGAATTCTTGTTGGATTTCTCTCCCTTTCTTCCTGAGGACAGAGAGCTCTAAAAACTCTGCCCTGTCCAGCAATTTGCAAATGATAGAGAGCCTTACGGCCCATGGGACCTAGGTGCACACTTAATTTAACTCTTTCATGGTGGAAGTTAGGAACCTGAGGTTCAGAGGCCGGCAATGGCCTAAGGCATATGAAGCTATCGAGAACAGTGCCAGGCACAGAGTGGGTGCTCAGTACAATGTTATGGAATGCTGTAATTTATTCAGTAAATATTCATGTATCAGGCACTGGGCTAGCTTCTGAAGTCTCTTTGAAGTAAGGAGTTATATTTTTCATTTGCTTAGTAAGCCCATCTTTTCAAAATTAATACAAAGGTAAACTTGAACCGACATAACCAAATGGCCCACGTCATAATTGCCAAGTTAGTGAAATCACTTCTAACCAGAACGCAGCGATTACAAACTGGATTCTTTGTGAGATCGAGTGGGGGCTTTCTAACTGTCATAGGATTTTCTTTGGATACATACAATATTTTTGAATTTATGTAAACGTGTGCAAAATATGACGAAAGTTTGAATATAAAATATGGCAACGTGGTACGTTACATGAAAAACTTTTAATTCAGGAGTGGTAGTTCTAGTAACGAACTATAGCAATGACCCTGACAGCGTAGCTGACGAGCAGCGGTTCTGATTGCTGGGGGTTAATGGATATTGGAAAATCTGGTTAAAGCTAAGGTTCCTCTCCCCAGAAAAATGTTCATTTGCATTTACACCAAAAAGTTCATCTAATTTCAGGGAGACTATAGACCCTGAGGTAAGAATCCCAGAAATAGAGATCCTTTCCTTATTTTTTTTCTTGTGTTTCTATGTGATATTTAGGAGAAAAAAATGCAGTGTAAGAAACAATGGAAGAGTTTTTTATCTGAGCTTGAAGTTTTACTGCTGTGAGTATATTTTCTCTGAAATTTTCTCCCTTTATGCCTGGTTTTTGTCTTTGATTCTGTAGCACAGAGCTTGGCATGTAATAGCTGTCGCTTGGATGTTAGAACATTGGGTAAATTTTTGACATCTGCCTTGGTATATTCCTTAGAACACATTTTAAAATAGACTATTTACATAATTCTCTTGAACATATCTTTACAATAAACTGTCACAAGGAAGTGGCTTAAATCATGGGTGACTAACACAGCTGAATGTAAAGTAATTCTTAGAACATTAGAATTGTATATATTTTACCTTTTCCCCCTTCCTGAGAGACATTGCAGTCAAGAAACTGTTTCATCAGTATAACCCTGTTCAGGAAGAGAGTTTTGGAGAAAGAAATCAAGTGCTTTTGATGTGCATATTATTTTCTGGGAATTCATTCATGCGCCTGCAAGTCCTTGGAGACAAACTAGAATGACCTCATTTTCATATATATTCATATCTGCAGCTGTGCAGCCTGCCTCATGGAGGGCCCCTAACCCTATAGAGTTCACTCATCACCCTTTATGAAGAGAAAATGTTCTTTTCAGATGTTTTCTAAACCAATATGTTAAGGGGGAGTGGGGGAGGCATTATACTAAATCCTTCTCCTTTTATACCCAGGACCAGAAAAATCATAAAAACTTAAGATATATCATTTAGTCAACAAAAAACTATACCAAGATTGTAATAGGGTTTTTATATTTAAGCGTTATTTATTTGCATTTTGGCTCCCACCAAAAAAATAAAATAAAAATCAAAAAAACATTTCAAAATTCCAAAAGTACAAAAGGATAAACCAAGAAAAGATTTTCGACCACTATTATCATGCAACCACCCAGCTGATTTCCCCACAGGCAAGAGAGTCATCAGTGTCTTGTATATCTTTCCAGAGATATTCTATGCGTAAACCTACATGTGTTTTGTTTTCTTATTTTCCTCTTCTCAAACAAGAGGTAGTGTAAATACATTGTTCACTTTCTTATTTTAGTATTCCATTGTGTGCTGTATTGTGATTTAGTCAAATTTTCTCTTATTGATGGATTTTTAGATTTGTTCTAATTTTTTATTATTAAAAAATAATGCTGCAACAAGAAAACCTTACATATACGTTATTTTGTACCTGTTTGAGTACATCTAAGATAAATTCCCATGAATAAAATTATAGAGTCAAATGGTTATGTGCATTACATGTTAACAAATTGTCCTCCAATAGAAGCTATAGTACCAATTTACACTATACCAGTCATATAGGAGACTGCCTGGTTCCCCATATTCTTGTCAAGATAGCGTTTATTCTTAATGTTTAATTTTTGCCAATCTGCTAAGTGGAAATGGTTTCTCGGGATAGTTTAAATTTCTTTTTCTATTATGAATGAATCTTTTCACATATTAGGAGATATATTTCCTTTTCTATGAAATATCTGATAATATCCTTTGCCTATTTTTTTATGAGGCTGTTGGTATTTTTCTCAATGGTTTATAGGAACATTTTATATATTAGAGAAAATTAGCCCTATTTTTATGTTACAAGATACAAATAATTTTTTACCAGATTGTCATTTGTCTTTGCTTATTCTAGTTTTTGCCATGTGGAAATGGTTTTCATGTAATTGAATTTAATCTATATTTTCTTTTATTGATTCTGCATTTTATATCATAGTTTAAAAGGCCTTCCCCACTGAGAGGTTATAAAATAATTCTGCCATTTTTTTCCCAAGTACTTTTATGATTTCATTTTGTACATTTATATATCTGATCCATTTGGATTTATTCTGGTGAGGTATTTATATATTAATTTAGAAAGCGTTAACGCCTCTATGACTGTATTCCTGGTATGCCATCATTATTATTTATATTGCTAATGTTTATTTAGTTTTAGGCCGTACACCAAGCACTTCACATACAGTAATTCTTTAACCTTCACAACAATTCTATGAAGCAAGTACTGTGGTTATCCCCATTTTGCAGATGAGGATACTGAGGCAGATCCTACCTTTTTTACAAGGTCCAACTTACTTCCTAAATCACCTTCAATCTCCCTCTTCTCAGACATTTACTAATGAGTAAGTCAGATGCAGCCTTCTCCTTGTAGAACACACTGGAGTGGGATTAGGAGAGAAATACATAAGTAAATAGGCAAGTTCAGTAAACTAAGTAATAAGATGAGCAAGTACAGAGCCTGAAGGAGGAGGAAATGGTAACTTGGGGGAAGGCTGGCAGAGTAGGCTTTTTGGAAAAAGTAACATCTAAACTGAGACCTGAGGATGAGTTTTTTAAATTTAACGTTAAGGGAACTGCTTAATCCCTGTGCCATTAACAGAATTGTCAACTCCTTAGACAGTGGCTTCTGATTCCTTTTTTCCCTCCTTCATCAAGGGAAGGGAAGGGAGCTAATAATTTTTGAGGCCCTGGCACTTGGCTAAAGGTTCAACCTTTCATTTAATTTTCATAAGAATCTCAGGAAGTAGGTGTTTTATCTGCTTCCATAAACTGGGTGGCTTAACAACAGAAATTTATTTTCTCACAGTTCTGGAGGCTGAGAAGTCCAAGATCAAGGCAGATTTGATTCCTGGTGAGGGATCTCTTCCTGGCTTGCAGATGACTGCCTTCTTGTTGTGTCTTCGCATGATGGAGAGAGGGAGCAAACTTCTGGTGTTTCTTCTTATAAGGGCACTAATCCCATCCTGAGGGCCCCACCCTCATGACCTCATCTAATCCTAATTATTTCCCAAAGTCCTCATCTCCAAATGCCGTCACCTTGGGGATAGGGCTTTAACATATGAATTTGGGGGGGATACGATTCAGATCATAGAGATTAAATAACTTGCCCAAGTTCACACAGCTGATGAAAAGAAGACCCGGGATTCAAACCCAGGTTTGTCTGTTGTTCAAACCTGTCTGCTCTCCCACATCATGGTGCCTTGCATCTTGTTTTATCTGTGTAGGCATTCAGAAGTACGTGTTGAATTGATTTTAAAAGGTATCAGATCCGCTGACCTTCAGATCTACATAATCTAAAATCCCATTGACTTAAAAATTTGTAGCAAAAGGATAGGCCCATAGACTCATTTTCTGCTTGATTGGTCATATTTTAAAATAAGCAAATGGTCATTCTGCTCTGTGAGCAGGAGAGCAGAGCCCCAGGCTATGGCTGTGTCTATATGAGGCCTGCTATCCACTGCTTTCCAAAAGATTTCCCCTTTCTTTGAAATATTTTAAGTTGCAGGAGAATCAACCAGCTAGTGCAATAGATTAGCTCTTTTTTTTTTTTTTTTTGTGAGGAAGATCAGCCCTGAGCTAACATCCATGCCAATCCTCGTCTTTTTGCTGAGGAAGACCGGCTCTGAGCTAACATCTATTGCCAATCCTCCTCCTTTTCTTCCCCAAAGCCCCAGTAGATAGTTGTATGTCATAGTTGCACATCCTTCTAGTTGCTGTATGTGGGACGCTGCCTCAGCATGGCCAGAGAAGTGGTGCATCGGTGCACACCCAGGATCCAAACCCGGGCTGCCAGTAGTGGAGCGCACGCACTTAACCGCTAAGTCACAGGGCCGACCCCTAGATTAGCTCTTTAAGCAGCCAAATACACCAGCTCAATTCCTTTTCAGCCCATTGCTTTTTTTTTCTTTTTTTTGATATTTTAATAGTTTATAACATTGTGAAATTTGGGGTTGTATATTTTTGTTTGTCCATCACCATATATATGTCTCCCTTCACCCCTGTGCCCACCCCCTACCCCCATTGCCCCTGGTAACCACAATACAGTTTTCTCTGTCCATGTGTTGGTTTATATTCCACATATGAGTGAGATCATGCAGTGTTTGTCTTTCTCTTTCTGGCTTATTTCATTTAACATAATACCCTCCAGGCCCATCAATGTTCCTGCAAATGGGACGATTTTGTCTTTTTTTATGGCTGAGTAGTATTCCATTGTATATATATACCACATCTTCTTGATCCAATCATCAGTCGAGGGACATTTAGGTTGCTTCCACTTCTTGTCAGCCCATGGCTTTTCATCATATAGATATGGTCTGAATCATAACAGGTGTAGGGATCTTGTGTCAAAGAAGTTTTTGACATATTTAGAAATGAAAGTCTCTCTATGTGTTTGTGTGTGTGTGTGTGTGTGTGTGTGTGTGTGTGTATGTGGAAGGAGGAATAAAAAGAATCAGAAGGCTTATATACATGTATATATGGGAGCCATAGATATATGAGTATGTGTGTGGTGTGTGTTTTATAAGAAAATTTTGCTGCTGAAGAAACAAATAATAGGCCTTTATCAATAGAACCTTTAAAAAAAAAAGAGCTTTATTTATTTTTAGTATCCCCAAGCATGTCTAGGACATAGCAGGCATTCAATAAATAATTGTTGAATTGAACTGAGTTCATAGTATGTGTGAATTTCACCTGTTTTATATTTCATAATTGTTACCTGGGTTCCATTGGTTTTCACAGTGATAATGCATGCTTTCAAGAAATAGAGTTTTTAAGGAAAGGAACTTGAAAAATGTATACTACACTGACATAGAATTCTGTGATTTAAAATCAGTGGTGTGTTTGTTCACATCCAGCTTTACTGGCCACATGGATTTTAGACAACCATCCAAGCTTTATGAAGACATTGGAGATCTCTTAGCTGTGTGACTGGTGCCTCGTACAGCACCTGACACGTGGTGCTCAGTAAACGGATGAATGAAGACAGTCTTCCATACTCTCTTCTGGTGCCTTTACACATGCATACCTAAAGCAGTGAAATGGGTCATTTCTGTTGCATTATCTTTATTTATTTAAGTTACATTGGGTTTCACATGGATAAAAATAAATTAATATCAAATCTTGTCGTCTATGTGTTGTAAAATTCCCAACACCCCAAATCTTAAGAACGCTCTACTTTCTTAAATTTTCTGTCTTATATTTGGATATTTCATTTATATTTGCATGATCATAATCGATCAGAGTGCCTCATATTTGTCAGAACGCTTTAGACCAATTTGGAAAGCAGATCTGTATCATGTATCTGGTGAAATGACCCCTCCCTTGGTCAAATTTATGTTCTGCTTTAGACCTGTTCCCCATCCCACCTTACCACCCTCAACCAGAGTGTCATTCATTTCCTATTTGAATAAACAGTTTGATGGATTTAAAAATCTTCTGTTTTGAGGTTTCATCATCCAAATATTCTGGAGTTGGCTACATATTTCACAGAGGGTGAGAAGTTCTGCCTGGTTTATCCATTTATGAGAAACGGATCCCTTTTTGACAGACTACAGTGTGTAGTAAGTCCTATCTATTACTCTGCCTGCTACTCTGACCCTCGGGTGAGCTGCTGAAACTTTCTGAGAGAGCCGAAGGCCAACCTGTGTTCACATGAGCGGAGAGCCAACAATGGGTTTCCCAAGAAAGCAGAGGACTTCTCCATGAATTAATTTCTTACTCTTAGAAGACTGCGTAAATATCTGAGTTATTGTCTGTTGTGCAACATGGTGGCCAGAAGATTTGCTGGTCCTTACTCCTTATTGATGCTATTTTTCAAATGAGCTCGCATCAACTACCCTGATTTCTCAGATAATTTTGATTTGCATAACTTTACACAGAGTACCATTCAGTACAAAGGATAGGTATAAAGGTGATACAGACTCCTTACAGACAAGGAGGTTGAGTAAATGCCATGATTCCTCCCAAGATGTTTTTGAAAGATAAGTGTAAAAATGATTTCCAAATAGATTAATTTTCAGTTAAGATTAGAGGAAAAACAGATTATTCTCAATTATCTGAACTGTTATGCCACATATAATTTTAAAATCTTATTTAATGAACCTTTAGACATAGTTACATTACTAGCCATATTTCAATTAAGCTAATATTAAAATTATTGAGTATTTCCATTGGCTATTAAGAGGCCTGGAAGGGTCATCAGTAGTAGAGGAAAACTGTCTTGAGTTAAAAATAGGTTATGGCAAACCAAAATGTTGATTCACCCTCCGCCCCTCACCGTCTGCTTCTGTTTTAGCATACTTCTACGGTTTTTACTCAGAAAGTGAAACCAAACCAACTACTCTGTCTTTTTAGGGTAACACGGCCCCACTCTCTTGGCACGTTCGAATCAGTATCTTAATAGGAACATGCAAAGCCATCCAGTACTTGCACAATGTCGAACCGTGCTCGGTCATCTGTGGCAGCATATCCAGGTAAATTAGCCCAGAGCTGTAGGTCACACCTGAAAGCCCTTTTCTTCATCACGGGTGAGTCATATTTCGCATTATTTTCTGTCTATAGTTTCCCCGGTATGTATGTGCGCGTGTTAAGAATTCTCGTCTATGTATTTAAAATCTTGCCTTTTTATTAATGAAAACATGTCTACCAAATTTAAAAAGCTACATTTATATTGCCAAAGGGGAGTTTATATTATCTTTGGGAATTATTAATGAACAATGTAGGATAGTTTTGTGTATTTTATTAATTACACCTGATCCCAAACTGTGAGCTGAGTCTATATTCATCTCACTTTTTTCCTTTCAACTAAGGTTTAAGGAACGGCTAAGTGACTTATACAGGGATTTCTAGCAAGCTAACAGTAGTAAACGGCAATTAAAATTCTTTGTCCTTGAGGCTCCAGTGTCTCACTGATTCCACTGAGGGAGCCCGCTGCCTCAGAGCTTTGTATATTCCTCTGTGCAGCTGAGCAGCAACTCCAGCGTTCGTTTTTAAGACATGAGAAAATCAGAAGCAACATCTTCCATCTTTCTTCTTGCTCAGTAGACATAAAGAATCTTTCAGACAGAGAGTACATACCTGTGGCAAACCCCGCCTGGTGAATTTTCCCTCTGTGCTTTTCATCTTGAACCTGTCCAAAAGCAGGTAAAGACAGCTTGGCTGAATAGCAGGGAACACTGAATTTAAAAGGCTGCTGCCTCTTCTGAACCATCTCCTAGGGTCTTGACAAAAGCTTTTAGTGTACTTTTAAGTTGAGCAGAAGAGGGACTGATTACTTACTTTGTTTTTCTGGTGAAATGAACTCCACATAAGAAGACTCTACAGTTTGACTTAGTCCTGGGGGAGTGGGGGGAACGACCCACAGCTGTCTGCTCCTGTGCAGTGTGGTAATTCACCAACTGCCGGTGGCCCCGTAGAATCAGCATAAAATTGGTGCACCCCGTGGGACCCGGGACAAAGATGGACAGTGAAGGTCTCAGGGGTCGGTGGAATGAACCACTGGGGTCAGTTCCAAAGGGCTGAGGGGGCCACCCCCAACCTAAAACGTTCCTCCTTCCACACAGCTCACAACCAGCTCAGCACAGTAGGTGCTCAAATAAATGTTTTCACTGAGTAAATAAATGAATCAATACCTGGAATTTTGCTGTACGTATTCCTCCTTTGGTTTAAACTAAAAGTGAGTATGAGCTTATTTTTAATAAGCCAAGGATTAGTTGTTAACACGTTAATTAAGCATTAATACATTAATGTTATTGGTTTTCCTTTGGTGTGACTGAGTTCATCAGGTCCTTTCCTGGAAGCGGAGCTTGAGGGGTGAGAAGGGAGAGAGTGTCGAGGTTCTGCTGCTTGATGGCAGAAGGGGACAGGGAAGGCCACCAGCTGGGGAGGGTACAGATCCAGCTCCGCCTGCGCCGCCAGGTTTTCCACGGCTCCCGCTGGGGGAGGAGACGTGCCTGTGCTCCTGCTGCGTCTCTCCTGGTTTTAGTTAGAGCGCAGACTGTGGCCCTGAGTTCTGCTGTCTCATTTTCCGGTAGTGACTTCAGGCAGGTTCCCAGGAAATAGGCTCAGAGGCAGAGAGGTGCCTGCAGGAGATTTTTCAGAGTACTCTCAGGAACAACAAAAGTGAAGGAGGGAAGGAGGAGGGCAGAGTGGGCAGCTGGAGAAGCTGAGCTGGAATACTGTGATAGAGGCCTCAGGTGTTTGCACCCCTGCGTCTGACCCACCCTGAGTGAGGCTGTAACCTGGTGAGGCAGCTCCCTTCTCCCAAGGGCAGGTCCCAGCTTGGGGCTCCGCTATGAGCCATCAGCAGCCCCGCCTCCCTGGCGGGAGAATGAGTGCCACCCTGGATGCTGAATGCAGGATCTAGGCTGCGCCACGGCAGCCGCCAGTTATAGGGAGAGATCTGACTGCACGGCGCTCTGCCAAATGGGACCAAATGATTCTTCTTTTCGTGTACTTTCCTGCCACCCTCTTTTCATCCTTTCCTCTTAGTTCAGTGTCCACTATTGTTTAAATCAGAGAGATCTGATTTAAGAAGCCGACTTGCCTCTTAAAATGCGATTCTGAGCAAATTGCTTAACTTCTCTCAGGCTCTGTTTTTCCCTCTGCAAAATGCTAATAAGAGAATAGTAGCTTCTATCTCTTAGGGTTAAAGGACAGAGTGTGTAGATGGTGCTGAGGTCTCCCTCCTCAGCTGGGAGCTGCTGTTACACTTGCTCAGGAGTGGCAGGAGGGCCACTGGCAGAGGCTGAGAGATGTGACGGTCAATCAGTCTTCTTACTCATCACTCTTTTACTCTTAGTCCGTTCGGGCTGCTGTAAAAAAAACACTGTAAACCGAGTGGCTCATAAAGAACACACGTTTATTTCTCACACTTCTGGAGGCTGAGAAGCCCACGATCATGGCACTGGCCGGTTCTGAGTTGTGAACGCCCACTTTCTGGTTCACAGACAGCCGTCTCTTCTCTGTGTCCTCACATGGTGGAAGGGGCAAGGGAGCGCTCTGGAGCCTCATTATAGGGGCACTAATTCCATGCATATGAGGAGCCCCCATGACCTAATCACCTCCCAAAGGCCTCATCTCCTAACACACTGGGGGTTAGGATTTCAACATATGAATTTGGAGAGACACAAACATTCAGTCCACAGCACTTTTGCTGTGATGACCTTCGTCATCAATTCATTGTGTTTGAAAAGTGGATCCACAAACTAAGCTCTATTTTAATAAAAATCACTTCTGTGTTAACACGTTTATTGAACGTTTTGAAAATCACATTCATTTTAGTTCACAAATATTTTGGGGAGATCTGTTGTGTGCAGAGCATTGTATGAGACCACAGTGGGAAGACCTTGACGACCTTAGTCTTGACCTTGAAGGTTCAACTTGGTGATCAGAGAGAGAATGCAAACACAGAAAATAAATGGTACAGCACTAAATATGCCCAATGTGACGTTGGTCTGAGAAGCCTTCTTCTAATGAGGTAGTTTTAAGCCAAGGCTCTGAGGAGATGGGTGATGGCAGTGGATGTGTTGAAAGAAGGGAAGAGAATATTCCTGGTGGAGGCAATAATTTGTTCAAGGGAGCAGAGTAAAGAATTGCCAAGTGTGTAATGAAAGCAAGACAAATGGGTTGATTGGAGAGGAAAGGATGAGGTTGGAGAATAAGGAAGATAAGACTGGAGAGGAGTGAGGAATGTGGTATGTAGGGGGTTGGATGGAGCCTTGAATGCTAACTAGGCTAAGGACCTGGGGTTGATAAGCTGGGCTCTTGTGAGGGACTCTGAGGCTTCTCTAGGGTATAGGTTGGAACAGAAAGGTTCTGGAGTCTCTTAGGTGGTCTCACAGTTTAAAAGGGGGCCATTTCTTCCAGGCCAGTATCTCAGGTTCTTGTCTGGATGTGCTGAACTATAAAATCATTTAAATAACACTGCTGGACAGACTGCCCAAGGAGTAATATAAAAACAGAGTACCAAAGAGATCGGATCAGAAACAGAGAATTTCATGGAAGAGGCAGGATATAAACTGAAAATGCAGCTAGCAACATATTTTATTTTTTTAGTTGGTGAAGGGGCTGCTGATGATTGTTGCCTCTCTGGGTTTTCCAATGGGTTCGAGGTTCAAACATAACCATGTATTGACTACGCCCCCCTAGGCCTGTGTCCGGGTGTGGAGTTCTGAGGCTGTGGGCACTTATTTGAGAATTGTGTTTCACAAGGGCTCATCAGTGTGTCCCCATCTGTTCCAGAGCAAATGAGCCCCTTCCACAGCCACTGAACTCTCGGCCTTTCTGCTGAGCCCACAGCAAAGGTGTTAATGAGTGCCGACACTAACAGCAGGTTTTCTTCCTCTCTTTTGGTGATGTGCACACCTGCTCTAGAAACTGGAAAGAGACCAACTCACTTCATTCAGGGCACTGAACATCTGTCAGATGGTAATGACATTCAGTCCCCAGCAGTCTTGGCCAAACGTAAATTGGCTGACCTAGATTACCCTCCCAAATCTCTTTTAAATGAATCTTTCACTTTGCTGTAAACGTGGGCCTCCCTGATTCTTGGTCCCTCTATGAACAGCCTAGTGCTTTTAGGAAGGTCTGAAATCCCTTTTTCTGCCTTTGTCACATTAATTTTCTAATTCTTTATAAGGAAAGGCAGCTTCTAGGAGAGATGTCATTTTAGTGCACAGTCCTGATAATTGGCTCAAAAAAGGACATTCTGGGGCCAGCCCTGTGGCCTAGTGGTTAAGTTTGGTGCACTCTGCTTCAGCAGCCCAGGTTCAGTTCCCGGGTGCAAACCTACACCACTCATCAGTGGCCACGCTGTGGCGGGGACCCACATACAAAATAGAGGAAGATTGGCACAGATGTTAGCTCAGAGCCAATCTTCCTCAGCAAAAATAAAGGACACCTCAAAATGTGTTAGTCACCTTTTCTATAAGGCTCTGTTTTTGTTGGAGTGAGAAAGGGAAGGTATTGCCACCTTTATTTTCTTCCCTGCATTTGGGCCTCAGACTGATGAATCACAGAAGAGTTTATCATACATCATTTGACATTATTAAATAATGTTTTTCATAGTATGAAATAACATGGAACAATGTGCATTAAGTGAGATTAAGTGAACAAAAGCCAAATTGAGTAATACACAGTACACAATTATAACTTTGTAGAACTACAAATTCATGAACTAAAAATAAAAGATTGAAAGTAAATCATGCCAAAATATAAATAAGGCTTTATTTAGATGGCGAGACTATGGCTTTTTATTTAATGGCTTTTTACTTCTACTTTATGTCTTTATTTTTTTTTTTTAAGATTTTATTTATTTATTTATTTTTCCCCAAAAAAGCCCCAGTAGATAGTTGTATGTCATAGCTGCACATCCTTCTGGTTGCTGCATGTGGGACACGGCCTCAGCATGGCCGGAGAAGCGGTGTGTTGGTGCGCGCCCGGGATCTGAACCCCGGGCCGCCAGCAGCAGAGC